TATTCCAACGCTCCCGCCAGAAAGTTACTTCCACGGTGGGCGGGTCCTTACAAAATCCTTGAACGTATTGGATCCGTGGCATACAAGCTTGATTTGCCGGCTTCGATCAGGGCTCACAACGTTTTCCATGTGAGCGCCCTCAAGAAATATTTGGAACCTGACGATGTGGGACGCAAGCCAGAACGGCCACCACCAGTGATCACCAATGTTTCTGACGACGAAGACGAATGGGAAGTTGAAGCCATTCTCGACGAGCGCAAGCGACGAAACAAGCTACAATATTTGGTTAAGTGGAAAGGTTATCCCTTACACGAGGCGACGTGGGAACCCGCCGAACACCTTTCCAATGCGCCCAGGCTCTTCAAGACTTCAAACAATCCAAGGAAGCGACGCCATCAAAAGCTTCGGATACGAATTTACTTCCTCGACGCCGTGGTCGTCCGCCCAAACACAGACGAAACAGGTAACTGTATGTGCAATGGGTTGTGGTGTTTATTTTTTTTATAGTTCCTCTGGGTCTATTTCACCACGACGACCACCTTTTGGGATCTCTCGCGACGTTTTAATTTGCGGGGGGAGAACCCTAGACCGGGACGATTTCTATCCAGTCGACGCACAAAACGATCCGTCACTGCTGTAGAAGAGTTCCAGCATACGAACCCACTTGGACGCGCACAAGGACGGTGCATACTACTCGCAGATCGACGCACAGACATTAACGAGCTACAAAGGACGGCGATTGAAACGACGCAAATCAAGAATTACTTTGGACGAGTCGACGGATCGACGGCGAGCACCTGACGTTTTACTTCGAGTCGACCTCTTGAAGTAGACGGGGGAGGATGTAACGGTGCATACCGTTACGACGATATCCAACCTGCATGGTTGACGATCGACAACGCATGGTTCAGACGATAGGATGACTTGCGGTCAACCGCATGGTTGAATATAGAGTAATAGGCGTGGATATTCTAGATAGAAGTTATGATGTAGATCAATACTTAGACGATAGCTAGCCCCCTATTACTCGACGTATATATAAAGACGGGATCCTGAGTTATATGGATCCCTATCGTTTTATCCTTTGATATATCCGAGTCTCACCTTATTCATTGATCCACACTGTCTACCCATTCACGTTCCCGATTGTAAGTATCTGGGCCGACACTGTTACATGGACTTTTGTTGTGGTGTCGAACGCATTTATGGCAGAGAGCAAATCACGCCAAATATGCATCTGCATATGCACTTGGACGTAACGATCGAGGATTTTGGACCTTTATATGCTTTCTGGCTCTTTAGTTTTGAGAGATATAATGGATATTTAAAGGAGATCGATACGAACCAGAAGGATTCATTCGAGATGACGTTCATGAAGAAGTTCTTGCAAAAGACAGGTGCTCGCGACTTTGTCCGGTCGTTTGAGCACCGCTTCATGGACAAGCTAAGCCATTTCGCCTTCTTGAATCGCTTTTTGGACATCGTGCAGCCGATGAAGCAAACTGGTGACACTACGAGTGGTGCGTTCGACCCACATAGATTTTTTGCGCTGTCGACTGGTACTGAACAGGCCACTGGAGGCGAGCCACTACCACCAGATGCATACCTGTTAGATTTTGCACCAGCAACGTTTATGCCTGACCCAGTATATACTTTCCTTCTGGCCTTTTATCGATCCGTTTATGGTACCCATCTGGACCATTACAGAGATGCGCAGGGTAGCCGGGTGTTTGTGAACAATCTTTATAACAAGATGAAGACGATCACCATTATGGGTCAGCTCTATAGGAGCAAAGAAGCAAGATCGCGGCGTGGTACACACGCACAGGTGCTGTATGAAGCGGAAAATTGAGGCGAACCGATCGCTTGGCCATGCGAAATCCAGTACTTCTTCCGCCACGAGTTAAAGGTCGACACCCAGCTCAAAGAACATGTTTTTGCCTTTGTTCGCTGGCATAGCATTTATAGCAGTAATAAGTTGTTGTTCGTGGATTAAAAACTGGAGATATGGCGTAGCCACTTCCTTGCTGAGGACATGTACTGCATCGTGCCCATTCATCGTCTGTATAGTCAAGTGGCAGTTGTAAAGTACGGCGATCAAACGCACACAAGTGGTAGAACAGTCGTTATTCCGTTGCCTAAAAAGATGTTGGCGTAAAACAAAGAGAAGCAATTTTTTCTCCTCCCCCTCCAAAACTATCTTTTTCTTATTTCTTTCTCCCCCCACCAACTACTCAAAACGAGCGGCCTCTTGCTTCTTCCTCCCCCCACCAAATAAATAGCACACTCACATACGCATATTATACAGACGTATTTTTGCCCACCCCTAACCTATACAGCATAAGCCGGCAACCGCTTTATTTACTTTAAACAAACATCCAGTCTTGCAGCTGCTCATGCACAGCCGAGCGCAAGGTAACTGCCTTTCGTGCTACTGATCGTCCAACCACGTTCGGCTGCAAGTCAACATCCACAGCCGGTCTGAAATCGTCAAGGCTTTTCAGAAAGACGTTTGCCTACAAACAACATCTCTGTCAAGATTCACGCGTAAAGAAATCTACTTTGAAAGTAATTACCCGCTCACTACACCATTTAGGCACGAAGACTGAGACATGCTTGCCACTGCACAGGACACCAGTGCTGCTGCTTTCGTTGTCGGTCTCCTCTTCCGACATACATCCGTCCTGGAGCAACGACTTTCCACCGGGGTACTGTTCCTCTAGTTCGATCGCATGTTGCTAGAAAACATTGAGTCGTCGTACTAATTTCTGTTTCAGATGTTAAGACAATACTCTTATTCAACCTCCTATTACTTTACTTGTTCTAATATTTACCACTTTTTTTTTACAATTGTCTCTCTGTTCTCTAGTATGGCACCTACAGACACAAGTGGAACACGACGACCACGCGCTTCAGCTTGACGGCCAACGCCAACGCCACCACCTTGACCTTCACTAAGGGCCCCACTACCAACTATGGCAGTACGATATGCCATATTGGCAACTGTTTGGCCAATTCTATCAACCTTTTCATGCAGTACCTGGTTCTCGGCCTGCAAATTACGGATAGTATCCAAGAGCACGTTATGCTGTTGTTATTGCTACTACTGATCCAGGACATAGTTCTGCTATTGGGCATCATTTTCACGCTGCACCATGCACCGTTGTCGCTGGGCTTGGAGATCGCTTACAGTAGGCATCTAAATAGTATTATCATCTCTCAATATACAACATTAACTAATAGCTGCAGTAGTTATTATAGTTTACGTTCGTTTTATTATTTTATCGTGCAGGCACAAGAAGTATTGGAGGAAAGAGGTTTGATGAAATGCAAGTACCTGGATCTACAGGGGATCATTTTATTGTAGGGGATCTAGTTTTTTTTGGTACTCTTTTAATGCATGGTCAGCATGACTTTAACAGTATTGCAGATTAGTTATATTTCGCATCGATCGTTCCTTCGTATTTTACGCCTTTCTTTCTGTTTCTTTCTTTTCCTTTTCTCTTCTTTCCTGGCTGCTACGATACACTATTCTCTCAAGGACCCAATACCATAGGTTTGTAAGGCACTCTTTACTTTTATCGCTCTTCAACTACCTCTAAGTCTCTGCAGCTTTTATTAAGGATATTTTATTTCGTATGTACATGTAGCTCATGATTCGACCGGTTTTCCTATCCAAAATTATAGGCATGATCCACACGAGTTGAAGCTTGTAAGTATTCCCTTTGTAATGTTTACATACTTTCTTTCTACAGTTTTTCTTTCACTAAAAGCCTTCTTTCCTCATTTATAGCTTGTTTATACTTTGCATGGTCTTCCATCCTGGACATCCGCGTAGATCCCCATTTGCACTGCTGCATGCAGGTTGCCCACTGTCCGATCGCTGTTGGCACCGTCCAAGCGGAACTTTTCAGGTATGGTAAAGCTACCCATATTTTTGCTTCTGTCTAGCTGCAGTGCAGGTTACCTTCATTCTTCTTAAGTGAATCGTGGACTCATTAGCATACACAGCATGATTCACCCTTTTGCCTTTGCCCCATCACCATCTAGAGATTTTATACACCACATTCACACACATATACATAGAAGACTCCTTTCACCCTTTGCATTTATTCTTTACCACCCCTTTAATGCTTTTTATTGCTCTATAAATGTTTTCTGAAACTTAAGTAATGGAATAAATAAATTCGGTTGTATATGACCATACTGTGATAATCATCACTGCTATACAATAATCAAAACCTGCTGTGATTATTTCATCCGTTTAGTATATGCCCAAAATTGATCACGCTAAAATATGCTATGCAGACCTCTGTATGTACGATGAAGCTTCAGTACCTAGTCTGTATGTAAAGCAATTGGGGGGTCCCTTTCTATGCATATGCACTACCTATTATCAAAATTGGAAACCAACTATAAAGCTGTTGAAAACAGCTGAATATGTGATAAAAAAGCTGCCTTTTGTAGGAACTATAAAGCGGTTATAAAATAGTTTTATATTTGGATGACAAGCAGTATATTCAGCTTATATTCAGCTGTTTTTTGCGCCTTTATATTACCCCTTCTGCCTAGTGTAGGAAAGCATCCTTGGATAAAATATTATCAGGTCTTCAGAGTTCAAAGCTCAGGTAGACCAAGTTCAAGTACCAAAAGGAAAACCTGGTTGTATTTAACTCTAAGGCTCTTGTCGGGCAGGTGTGCAGCAGATGTCGATGCACCTGCCCCGTGGTTGCTCCTGTCAGTACCTTCCCTTTTAGTTGCTCTTGTCAGCACCTGCCCCGTAGTTGCTCCTGTCAGCACCTTCCCTTTTAGTTGCTCCTGTCAGTACCTGCCCTATAGTTGCTCCTGTCAGCACCTTCCCTTTTAGTTGCTCCTGTCAGCACCTGCCCCATGGTTGCTCCTGTCAGCACCTTCCCTTTTAGTTGATCCTGTCAGCACCTGCCCCGTAGTTGCTCTTGTCAGCACCTTCCCTTTTAGTTGCTCCTGTCAGCACCTGCCCTATGGTTGCTCCTGTCAGCACCTTCCCTTTTAGTTGCTCCTGTCAGCACCTGCCCCGTAGTTGCTCCTGTCAGTACCTTCCCTTTTAGTTGCTCCTATCAGCACCTGCCCCATAGTTGCTCCTGTCAGCACCTTCCCTTTTAGTTGCTCCTATCAGCACCTGCCCCGTGGTTGCTCCTGTCAGCACCTGCCCTGTGGTTGCTCCTGTCAGCACCTGCCCTGTGGTTGCTCCTGTCAGCACCTGCCCCGTAGTTGCTCCTATCAGCACCTGCCCCGTGGTTGCTCCTGTCAGCACCTGCCCTGTGGTTGCTCCTGTCAGCACCTGCCCTGTGGTTGCTCCTGTCAGCACCTGCCCTGTGGTTGCTCCTGTCAGCACCTGCCCCGTGGTTGCTCCTATCAGCACCTACCCCATGGTTGCTCCTAGAATCATTTTCGGCGTGGCGACCAGGTCGCCACGGCGAAAATGATGACAACTATGATAATGGAAATTTATTACACGTGGCGACCGATGACAACGGAATGACAATGGGATTTGGCCAATGTAATTGGTGGAAAATAGGCGAATTTACTGGGGAACAGCAAAGCGCGCTCTACTTTTTTTTTTCTCTACTACAAAAAAAAATTACTTTACTATATTTTTTTTAATGTAAAAGTAAAGACAGTTTCAAAAAAAAAGGTAACATATTTTATGGCGACCTCGCTGAAGAATATTAGGCATTGGGGAGGGAGGCCGTGTTTTAATTAGTAAATGGAGCAGAATTGTGTTGATGGATTTTGTATCTATAGGAATTGGACTCGCTCCAACGATTACTGTTTGAATCTGGTGTAAATCTACAAGGAAAAGAGGTAAAGGCTAGCCGTCTTTTTGCTTATGAACATTCTGTACGGCCTTGTGCGTGTTTTTTTGCTACTTGTGTTAATGATTTCCTGTACATTGTATAGCCACGATGGAGAATGGCGGTACTATTTCATATACAACAACAGAAATAACAGCAATAACCACACAAAGTGACGACGGTCTCATGATTCACTGATTCAAATAGTATACAATGACAACCAGGCGAACAAGCAGCTTCTTCCGAACACGACAGTCGTAGTTGCATGTCTCTGCAATGGTTTTTGAAAGAGTGGCAGCAGGAATAGTTGGTGGATATGTAATTGTATTACACTCTACTGGCAAAAATGAAAGTAGCAACCACGCAAACCGACGACGGTCTCACGATCCACTGATTCGAAGTGTACACAACGACCGCTAATCGAACGTGCAGCGTCTTCTGAACACGACAATTGTTGTAGCATGTCTCTGCGATGGTTTTTGAAAGAGTAACAGCAGGAACGGTTGGTGGATATGCGATTGTATTACACTCTACTGGCAAAAATAAAAGTAACAACCATGAAGACGACGACGGTCTCATGATCCACTGATTCGAATTGTACACAACGACCACTAATAGAACGAGCAGCGTCTATCAAACACGACGATTCATGTCCCATGGCACTGCGATGATTCTGGAAGGAGTAGAGACAGGAACGGGGATGGATATGCGATTCTATTATACACCAGGCAACAAAAGAAATAAATCAGCACCCACCAAAAAGAACGACGTTTTTTACGATCCTCTACTGTTATTCTCTGTCTCTTTACCACTATTGTCATCCCCGTCATCATGTCATCATCACCACCAGAATAATCATGGATACCATACTGCCGCAAAAATAAACTTGTCATCTGTTGCGTTATATCTACTTGAGCTATGTATGTTCAGCAGGAGTGCTCGGAGAAATAGTGCTTCCAGCGCCATAGGCGTTTTTCATTGGGCAAAAACAGTGTGATTTCCACAAACTTTTTCAAGTGGCGACCGATGACAACGGAATTTTTTCAAGTGGCGACCCGTGACAATAGAATGACAACGGGATTCGGTCAATGTAATTGGTGGAAAATGGCGAGCATGACAGCAAAATAGTAGGGGAGCCAGCTCCACTTCTTTTATCATTATTATTTTTTTTACTCTTCAGCACACTTGTTTACTGCCGCTTTTTATTCTATACATATTGAAGCAAGGGCGCTTGCAAAAAAAGGTATCTAGCTTAAGGGATGTTTATATGCTAGAAGAGCTGTGGCATTGGGATGGCGAATGGTTTAATCTCTTTTACTAGTAGCAATTGCTGAAACTATTAGCCACTTGACGAGGACAGCAACGTACTCTAGTAGCAACAGCAGCACTACAGCAACAGTCAAAGTTAATTACTATACGAACGACATACTACATTGAAGTATGACTACAGCACACAGACAGCAAAACTGGCACCAGTCTATACAGTACAGGCCGCTTTTTTTGTATACGCTATACGAGCATGCGAATAAAGAAAGGACAACATCGAATATAAGCGATTAGGTTTCTTCAAGGAGCATCAGCCCTAGAATCATTTTCGGCGTGGCGACCTGGTCGCCACGGCGAAAATAATGACAACGATGACAACGGAAATTAATTTCAAGTGGCGACCGATGACAACGGAATGACAACGGGATTTGGGCAATGTAATTGGTGGAAAATGGCGAATTTACTGAGGAACAGCAAAGGGCGCTCTACTTTTTTCTTTTTCCTTACCACAAAAAAAATACTTTACTATATTCTTTTTTTAATGTAATAGCGAAGACGGTTTCAAAAAAAAAGGTAACACATTTTATGGCGACCTCGCTGAAGAACATTTAGGCATTGGGGAGGGAGGCCGTGTTTTATTTAGTAAATGGAGCAGAATTATGCTGACGGATTTTGTTTCTATAGGAATTGGACTCACTCCAACGATTACTGTTTGAATCTGGTGTAAATCTACAAGAAAAAGAGGTAAAGGCTAGCCGTCTTTTTGCTCGTGAACGTTCTGTACGGCCTAGAATCATTTTTGGCATAGCGACCTGGTCGCCACGGCGAAAATGATGACAACGATGACAACGGAAATTTATTTCAAGTGGCGACCGATGACAACGGAATGACAACGGGATTTGGCCAATGTAATTGGTGGAAATGGGCGAATTTACTGGGGAACAGCAAAGGGCGCTCTACTTTTTTCTATTTCTCTACCACAAAAAAATACTTTACTATATTCTTTTTTTAATGTAATAGCGAAGACGGTTTCAAAAAAAAAAGGTAACACATTTTATGGCGACCTCGCTGAAGAACATTTAGGCATTGGGGAGGGAGGCCGTGTTTTAATTAGTAGATGGAGCAGAATTGTGTTGATTGTTTCTATAGGAATTGGACTCGCTCCAACGATTACTGTTTGATTCTGGTGTAAATCTACAAGGAAAAGAGGTAAAGGCTAGCCGTCTTTTTGCTCGTGAACGTTCTGTACGGCCTTGTGCGTGTTTTTTTGTTTCTTGTGTTAATGATTTCCTGTACATTGTATAGCCACGATGGAGAATGGCAGTGCTATTTCATGTACAACAACAAAAATAACAGCAATAACCACACAAAGCGACGACGGTCTCACGATCCACTGATTCAAATAGCATACAACGACAACCAGTCGAACGAGCAGCTTCTTCCGAACACGACGGTCGTAGTTGCATGTCTCTGCGATAAATCTATGTCGGACACGTTTAAGCAGGGGAAAGCAAAATGACAATGACAAACTCTTTTTGGAAGAGTGACGAAAAGGGAACCGCGGTGACGAAAAGGGAACATAGTAACGGAAAAGGAATGGGTGGGAGAATGACAAGATTGAACAAAAAGGGAACGCGGAAACGAAAAGGGAACCATGGTTACGAAAAGAAAAACGTAGAAACGAAAAGGGAACGGGGGGAAATGACAAACAATGAACGAAAAGGGAATGGGGGGGAAATGACAAGCAGTGAACGAAAATGGAATGGGTGGGAAAATGACAAGACTGAACAAAAAGGGAACGCGGAAACGAAAAGGGAATGCGGAAACGAAAAGGGAACACGGAAACGAAAAGGGAACCATGGTAACGAAAAGGGAATGGGTGGGAAAATGACAAGAGTGAACGAAAAGGGAAGAACGTAGCACACGTAAAAAAGAAAGAACAAGTCGAGCAGAGTGACAGCATGAAAACGAAAAGGGAAACGTAAACAAGAAGAAGCGAAAAGTAAAAGGAGGAGTAATGGAAAAGGAAGGGCGTAGCAAAAGCAGTAAAGGAAAGAAAGGAAGCATGGGAAAAGGGTTGAAAGGGGTAAAGCCGCGGTTGTCATAGTTACCACCACTGCATGTATAGGAAAGCATCTTCTTCCGATGGGCTCGGGGCCCCAGAACGGTATATATACCTGAAGCAAGGGGGTACCGCTGCTGTTTCGCTCTTCTTTTTTTTTCTTTTCTTCCCTCTTCTTCCTGCTTTACTTTTTACTTTGCCTTTTTTTTTTACCAAAGTTCTTTTGCTACTCACTATTACTCAACATTGCTTCATCTTTCAACGTCCTTCATTGCCATCTGGTCACGCTTGCTGCATCTCACTTTACGCCACTCGAACATTACGCTTCTTTGTCATCTTCACTTGCTACGGGTGCTCTGTCCTTGCCGTCAACAGAACGTTGTTTTCTCCTGTCACTACCGTCAATCGTGCTGGCTGCCATCTGTGGTGACGTTATCCTGCTCTTGTATATGGAATCCAGCAATGCCGGCACCCATGTTGCTCTGCCTCCTGCAATACATACTCTGTTTTTTTTGGCTGTCGTATACGTTGACTTGCTCCATCTCGCAGTTCTCTTGCCACCGAAGATTGGGGACGTGTTGGATATTCTACTCATTGTGCAGACGAATTCTTTTCCGTGGGTGTCTTAACTCTGCTGGACGTATTATGGCTCTTCTTGGCGTGCTTGTTTCCAAGGCTCCTTTGCTTGACGGTCTTATTTTATGGTTTTCCTGTGCTTACCAACGATGCTGTGCATAGATGCTGCTCTGCCGCTCCAAACGGATGACCTGTTCTCATAGCGTTCCTGTGTATGCTTAAGCTGTATGCCTTCATCCGCCGTTTTGGATTTATCAAGATCAAGGCTGAGACTGTGTTGTTGCTGTGGGTCTCTATGGATGAACTAAGCTTTTGTTCGGACACATGCGTTTGCCGAAGTTATGATCCATATGGTAAGTTTTTCTAATTTAAGATCTTCCTTTATATTAGCTGGTTAGCACTTATGGAATGTTTTATTAAAAAGCAAGAATGATTAATAGGATGAACAAGTGCATGTACACGCGCGATCGTTGACGGCAGGCATTGTGGGTATTGGTGACGGTAGCAGAGGAATTTGGATGGGCGATTATTTTGTTTGTTTATGGAACAGGTGCAAGACCGTTGATCGTGTAGCCATATCAATATGCTGTTGGTGTGATAAGGTACTTTACTTTTTGGTGTATATGTATTGCTGGATCAGCTTGAGCCATATTCTAACTTGCGGCAGTGGTTTGTAATGTAGATACTACATTTTTGTATCATTGTTACGTGTGAGGATCCAGGTAAGTGGTCAAAAGTGATTGCTGGGCAGGATGTGTTGTGTTGGGCATGCTGATGGTAGATGAGTGATGGGGGTATATAATTTCGAGTGCCGGTATTGGTGTGCTGAAGGCAACAGTGTTAGACTAGAAGAATAGAAATTTTGAATAAAGACGATCAATTTTAAAAAAGAAAAAAGCTACTGTCTGAGCGGGTTAGAAGATGTGCTGTGAACGGCAGTTCTTTTGTCGGATTGCTGATACGACGGATTGTGTGAGGGCGCTAGTAGAAGAAATAAAAACAGAAGGATCTCTTTTTTATAACTTGGCTTGATTATCAGCGTATACATAAGAATATGACGGTGAACCATGATCATGCTGTCTTTGAGTGACTGTGCTGCTGAAAAAGAACAGCACAGCTCTAAAAATCATGAGTATCACGAACGCTCCCAGCCATCGATCGTACAAGCATCTCTGACAACTCAGCATACACTTTTACTGATATCACTGACACCATGTGCTTCTCACGAATGTTTGCATACAACAATTTCTCTGGATGACGATTAGCAGATCTTCACGCCTGCAACGATGTAATATATACAGAGTGTTGGCCACGCGTGTTTATCATATCAAAATGAGAAAACTAAGGCGCAGTCGTACCCACAGCACTCGAACACATATAAAACTTTGACGCACGAATATACAACACACGTTTTACACAACTCCTCAGTGGTCATTCCAATTGCTGGTCAAAACCGGCGTTTTCTGATATTAACAACGCCATTGCACGTACATACGAACTCGTATGAATATGTTCTATGCCAGCCGGTGTTTTTTTTCTCTTCTTGTAAAGAAAAGGAGAGGTACACAGCACCATTCAAACAAAGACGGTATCCAGTACTAATTTTTTGATTATATTGTTGGTGCAACTTGTATAAACATACAAACAAAGATCCCATCACACCGAACAGCAACAGCACCGATCACTTTGGAATCTATGTCTCACGACCAAAAAAAATACAATCCATCGTCCTGCTCATATCATCTTTGCACAGATTCAGGCTTAGATCCAGCAAACTATCTAGACAAAAATAATCGGTATGTGATCCTTACATTTCTGCTGGCTATGCTATAGTGATGAAGGAAACGCTATGGAGAAATAAAAAGGCCGGTCTGTGGATTTTTGTGTAAGAGACACTGGTTGCCCAGTTGAAGAATAAACCTGCAACTAAAAGAGAGCATCAGCATCAATACGTCGTCGTTGAAGCTTGTTATTGTGGAGCTGGATGTTTGTGAAAAAAAGGAACAGCAGCATTTCCGCTGTATGCAGGTTCATGCTATAGATGCAAATGCTGTTGTTCACGCGATCCGCCTAATCTTACTGCATTGGCATGAATTCAAGCAGCTACGTTACTGATGAACATAGGACATCGTGGGGCATTAAGACACTCAATAGGCTGAAAAGAAGGGTATTAAGCGCAACGGGTTTAGGGGCCTGGCAGCGAACGCCAGTGAGCGAGCAGGTTTAGTCGAACGCGCAAGTCCTGGTCCGGGTTTACTAAGGTTCCGGGTTTAGAGTTTCCAATTGATGAGCTTGGATGTATATGGACTCTCTTCTTCTTCTCCACCACCTCTTATTTTGGATTGTTTTATTTGTTGGCTATTTTATATACTTCTTGAGTGCTGATGTATGTGTACGTGTATTTGAGAGATATAAACGTATATCGGACACGATTTAGCAGAGGAAAGTGAAATGACGGTGACCAAGATTTTGTTGTAAAAGACGTGTTGTCACAAGCACAAACGGGTGGGAAAGGCAGAGGGAACGTGAGGAAACGACAAGGCAAGGCGAAAAGGGGATGGCATCCATGGTCATGAGCACCGTGTTTGGGTAAAGTCCCTTTCAAGGTGTAGCGCTCCTCAAAGAAAAAATTTTCACAAAAGGTAGCTTCTGCATCTCTTTCGCTCTTTCACTTCTTTTTTCTCTACTTGTTTTTTATTATGTTCTGCTCGCCGCCATTCCAACACTCGAACTGCTCCATGCCATCTTGCACACGCTCCATCAGAATCCAGCTTTGCCGCATCTCACGTTTCTTTTGAACAGCACTCGAACGACACTCGTCCTATATTTTTTTTTCACATCTCACCACTCGAACAGCACTCGAATATTACCCATCTCGCACTTTTTCTTTCAACTTCACTGAACGCCCCTCGATTGAAACGAATCTCTCATTTTGCTGTGCTCTTCTACGTGGCATTCGCTTGACGGCAATGGACGATCCTTGGACCAAACTCTTTATTCCTGTGTTGTTACTGTTGACTCTGTCCGGCATCTCTCTTGCTTGGCTCTTATCGGATACTTGATAATTCCTACACGTCTCAGCATCGAGGTGCCTATTGTACGTCACTAAACAGCACATATTGTTTTGCCTCAGTGCTGCCGCTCTTCGTTCTTGATTCCTGTTGTTGTTGTGCTCGCAAAAATGTAAGTTATTACTTTTTTATAGTGATGCAGCTTGTGAATTGTTTCTAAAAAAAAACCACGATCGAACTTTCAATAGCATAAGCACTTGTATATGCTTGCGACTCTACTGACCGGTGTCATGCTGTTTGGCACTAGTGGTAGGCTGACTGTGTTTGATGGTCTTAATATGATTGTTTTGTAGCACGAGTACAAGGTCGTCGTTGATTGTCTATCCGTGTAAGATGCTTCTGGTTTTGGAGAAGATACTCTTTTTGCTTGAGCTTGTGCCGTTTATGACAGGAGGAGATAGCATCATATATATATTTACGAGGTATTATGCAAGGATGGCTGTTGATGGAGATGGTTCGTATCTGTGTTGGTTCTGTGCGGCATATACGTGGATACATGGCTGTGACGGATGGATGTGGTGGCCATAGTAGAAACGTTGCTATACTTTGCTTTTTCAATAAAGATCAACGGTTTAGAAGCTAGACTTTACCTAAACTGTCTTTGCGGTTGCGCAAAAGAAAGTGCTTTGAGAGACACAGTGGACGCGTATGTAATAATACTGAACGGTATTTGGGAGGTGTAAAAAGAGATTGATATCTACGCACGTTGTTGTTCCCTCAGAGTGTACGATTTACTGCTTGTGAAATAACTCATCCACAAACCACACTGCCGTGTTCTGAATCTTGTCACGAAATCGCAATAAAAAAACAGAAAAGTGTGTGCTCACGTGTAGGTAGTTGTAGCTGTGTTGTATATCACGGCATTATTTGCAAATATAAGGTGTACGTTGAATCGTTGGTTTGATCGTCACAAAACGAATGCATAATGTCGAATCTATTGCATCGTCGTAGTCGTCAGGGTTGTTGAAAGAAAAATATCAAGCTGTTGTCAGAGCACGAACAAGGCATACTACAGTGAGTATGAGAATGGCTGTATCAAGACCGCATTCCTAGTCTTTCGCAAAACAAATACGCCCTTCTTTATTAAAAAAAAGTCTATTGTACTGTGTATGGCCCACTGATTAAAATACTTTTCTCTTTTCTCACATGCATATGGGCAATCGGTTACCAGGCACTGCAAGGCAAATAAAATAACAGCCTTTTGTCATCTATTAAGCCTTCTCTTCCTTGCAGTAAATCCCAACGCCTGTTCCCCCACGTACGTCAAATCCACAGCATACACAAGACTTGTAGTTATTGTCCGTTGCAAAAATTATTTTTATTATGTACTGATAACAATAGCGATTGAAAAAAAAATGCTTACCTTCTAAGTGATAACCGACCATCAAAGAAAGTTCGTGGCAAAAATAGCAGTGGTTGTTGAGAAACCCGACTTGTTGCTAATGTGGCGTTGATGTGGACGTGCAGCAATTGTAATTGCTTTTGGCTGTGCTTGGTGGAGAATAAACAAGCATGCTATGAGCTCGTTTGCTGGTGTACCGATGAATCAAAGAAAGATGGCGTCACTGCTGCATCACAACAATGTCTCTTGCTTTCCGACCGGGCTGGACATATTCTGTGAGCGTAGTCAAAGTCGTTTGCGAAAAAAAAAGTGAGCTACATTTATCGTTCAGATTGTCGCCGGAAATGCACGCATCTGTGGTGCAGTTTCTCCGTGTTTGCTGATTCAAGCAATTTATGACGATGGATGCAACGGGTTGTACACAGCGTTTGCTAAATGATTGTCTGCAATCGTTTCTGTATAAATTCGCGTGCTGTGAACACGAGTGTTGCGTAAGCTTGGTCGTTTTGATATGGATATGTTGTAGTTGCTGCAAGGCGGTCAGTTCTAAAACATTTGTTGTAGAAGCGTTACCCAGAAACAATCAAGACAGCCAGATGTGTGAGAAGCTGACGATTCCAGTGGTGCCAGTAGAAAAGTGCGTGAGTTTGCGAGAAGGTGTGTACGCTCTTTATACAATATTGTTCTGTGCTTGGTTTGGTTTATTTTAAAAAAGAGAAAATTTGCTTCCATCAACACAGTCCCTTTTCCTGAGGAATATCTTTGGCGTGGCGACGACAGTGAGAGATTCTTTTGTCAACTAGTCGCAAAAGCCAATGCCAATCGCCAAGAACAGCAACATTATACACAAAAAACGCCATTCAATAAACCCACAACATTGTCCATCACTTGCTTTGAGAGATAAAAGAGAACGGTCAGTGTGAATTAACTTGACGATTTAAGCGCGATCAGAAAAACTACAGTACAAAGGCGACATAGCGTGCACTAGCCTGTATAGACCGGTTTTTCAACATACTTGGATACAAAAGTGGAACGAGATGGCGACATCGTTTCCATATCATTCGCTTTTTTTATCTACGATCAATAACCTTGGTAGTATTTTGGTTTTTACCTGAACATAACTGGTGTATTGCTATAATCATAATATTCTGCGCACGACGATATCTCACCATTTACTGATGCGAAATGCAATCCATTTGAACGAGCAGCATTATTATGAGCGTGTGGATATGACAGAACTGGCTTCGTGTTTGTGGCAATTTCTTTGGAGGAGCAACAACCGTGAATGGATCATGCGTATACTAGTGCTTTATATATCTTTATATATTACCATCAACTCCAACGAATCGAGCATGACGATACCTCACCATCCACTGCTGCGAATCACAATCCGTTTGAACGAGCAGCATTATCATGACCGTGAGGATATGACGATACCGGTTTCATGTCTGTGGCAATTTTTTTTGGAAGAGCAACAGCTATGGACGGACCATGTGTATTATAGTGTGTCATATATAACCATCAACTGCAACGATTCGCGCACAACGATATCTCACCATCCACGGATGCGAATTGCAATCTGTTTGAACGAGCAGCATTACCATGAGCGTGAGGATGTGACAATATTGGATTCATGTCTGTGGCATTTATTGTAGAGGAGCAACAGCCGTGAACGGACTATGTGTATACTAGTGCTTTATATATAACCATCAACTCCAACGAATCGAGCACGACGATATCTCACCATCCACTGATACGAATTGCAATCCGTTTGAACGAGCAGTATTATCGTGAGCATGTGGATATGAGGAAATTTGCATCGTGTATGTGGCATTTTTTTTTGGAGGAGCAACAGCTGTGAACGGAGCATGTGTATTATAATGCGTCATATATAACCATCAACAGCAACAATTTGTGCACGACGATATCTCAGCATCCACCAATGCGAATTATGAACCGTTTGAATGAGCAGCATTATTATGAGCGTGAGGATGTGACAAAACCGGTTTCATTTTTGTGGTATTTTTTATAGAGGAGCAACAGCTGTGAACGGAGCTGTTATGATAGTGCGTCGATATCACGAGCAACTACAACAATTTGTGCATGACGATATCTTGCTATCACTGATGCAAATCGCAATCCGTTTGAACGAGCAGCATTATCATGAGCGTGAGGATGTGACAAAACCGGTTTCATGTCTGTGACATTTTTTTGGAGGAGCAACAGCCGTGAATGCACCATATATGTTATGTTGGATCACATATAAACAGCAAATTGCTAGATTACACCAATCGACGCACAACAATACTACACCATCTACTAGCACGTCAACATGTCAACACGGCAATACAATTGCGATATTTTGAAGAACAGAAAGAGGAATTATCTTGTAGGGTCAATGTTGCATTATTTTGGCGGGTTTGAAAGAAGATAGTGTCAGTATTTGGATAGAATAAAGGCTAATAGAGATAAAGCATCGTTGTGTGTATAATACCTCATTCGTAAAGCTATGAGGATCATTTACGGCATACCTAAGTAGAGTTTTGTATGGTTGCTTGTAGTTCCCAGACGAACGATTCTTCTAACATTATAATTGTGTTCCTATGGTGAACCACATTAATACACTGCTTAAGATATCAACAATAAGATATTCGTTTAAACATTATAGCACACACATATGAACACTACGGCATTTTGGCTAAACACTATTGAATAAAATCTCTCACTCAGATGATCCACCTTACGTGAACAGGACAATGAACCTATCAACAGGTACCTCGGCCATTACATCAGCTAACACCGGTTTCAAAGATGTGCCCGATTAACATAGCGACTTTAATAGAAGTTCTGATACGTCCTTGATCCATCCTCTATCACATAGTTTATCCATTAGTCGGATGAATTGATATCGCCGTCTTAATAGCTAGAATATAAAAGAGCTTTATCTTTTGTTGGAATAAAACATCATCTCAAAGATACTTAATCTTGTCCATTATTATTTTTATTAAAGCTCTATCATCACAGTTCCATTGGAGAAAAACTTTGAAAGTTGGTTAAAAAATGGAACAGTTTTAAAGGCGGCACCAATAATTGCTTTTGACTTTATAGCTGCATGCCTTAGTATTTCATAGCTGTTATAAACTACAAAAGAATGTACGATGCTTTTCTGCAATGGCATAAAGAATATGCTTGGCAGTTAAGATGGAAGCTGATTTTGGCATTACTGGTTTATATGATTTATCCTACATATTAGGGATCCGCACGGTTCGGTTCGGTTCGGTTCTATAGAGTTGCCACGGCAATTACTTAGTAGGTCCAGTCTACCCAGTCCACCCAGGTAGACTCCAGGTGGACTCCAAAATATTTTTAGATATTTGGCATCAGAAAAGGCCCAGGAACACGATTTATTATGATGAAAAACCTTACTTAATTAGTACATTGCGGAGATATAAGCCATTTATACTGTTGAGCATAAGGTATACTCTACCAAGTCTACCCAGTCCACCCAGGTAGACCCCAGGTGGACTCCAAAATATTTTTAGATATTTGGCATCAGAAAAGGCCCAGGAACACGATTTATTATGATAAAAAGCCTTACTTAATTAATACATTGCAGAGATATAAGCCATTTACTGTTAAGCATAAGGTATACTCTACTAAGTCCACCTAGTCTACCCAGGTAGACCCCAGGTGGACTCCAAAATATTTTTGGATATTTGGCATCAGAAAAGGCCTAGGAACACAATTTATTATGAAGAAAAACCTTACTTAATTACTACATTGCAGAGATATAAGCCATTTTTACTGTTGAGCATAAGGTATACTCTACCAAGTCCACCCAGTCCACCCAGGTAGACCCCAGGTGGACTCCAAAATATTTTTGGATATTTGGCATCCCAAACGGCCCAGGATCACGATTTATTATGATGAAAAGCCTTACTTAATTAGTACATTGCGGAGATATAAGCTATTTACTGTTGAGCAGAAGGTGTACTCTACCAAGTCTACCCAGTCCACCCAGTCCACCCAGGTAGACCCCAGGTGGACTCCACAATATTGTTAGATATTTGGCATCAGAAACGGCTCAGGAACACGATTTATTATGATGAAAAACTTTACTTACTTAATACATGATAGTGATATGAGAAATTTACTATTGAATATATAGTATACTCTTATGTAGACT